CCCCAAAACCCCAAAACCCCAAAACCCCAAAACCCCACTAGGGGAGTAATAGATTGATTAATTCTATATCGAAGTCATGTATTTATTCAATTAATGAAATATTTAAAGCAGTATATGTAACAAAATAAAAGCATACTCAGTCTCACAACAATTACTTATTTGTTATTTTGAAGTTTTTCAAAATAAGAGTAGTATTCCTTGACTTTGATATCGAAATAGATTTAGCTAAGCACTGATATAAAGCACAAAATTGAGAGCATAATTAGTTCATTAAAGCCATACTTTGTCATTTTCTTTCTATCACTAATTTCTCTCAAGATAAAGAATGGAGAAAAACAAGCACTTATACAATTGCCGTAAAAGTTTTAGAGGAGTAGATTTCTCTGTTCTTGTCTATGGACATGATGTGATTGTATAAAAGAGAATATCATGCCTGATATAAATGTAATAATAAAAGCAACAACTGGAGTGAAATCCTTTGAAGAGGAAGAAGCTTTATTAAGAATCAAAGGCTGAAGTAATGTCATGAAAATCAAAAGTAGCAGTATGAGACTGAGTGACATTACCCACACATTCAAAGTCATTCTTCTCTCATGCTTCTCAATAAAGAATAATGAGATGTTATTGGCACAGAAAAATATCACAAAAATCACTGCAGGCTCATTAAGTCTTGTCATTGATCCATATAGAAACGTAATTGCTACAAAATACATAAACCCTTTAACAATGATATTTGTTCTTTGGTTTGCTGCTACGTCTAGCACATATATACCTCTAAAGTAAAGTACAAAGAATAAAGTCAGTGTGACAACTGCACCTTAGGCATAGACTATTTCATGTGGTGTAATGTTTGAGCTCTTAAAAAGCATTGATATAACTACTAATGATGCTATTTGTGTAGCCCATAGCAGGTAATTACTGATGAAATACCCATAGTAAGGATCGTCTGAAGGTTCAACATCAACGATTGATAATCCTAATCGCTTAACTGACTTGGGTGTCTCAAATCTATACTCTTCATTTTGATTTTTGTTTGAGGTGCTCCCATTTCTTCGCTTGCTCTCTGGAGAGTGAGTTGATCTTGAATATTTTTACTTGGCTTGAACATCAAAATTTAGCTTGATCTAATCAGATCTTTCCTCGTTATCTGGGAGAATGTGTCTAACTTAAATCTCTTTTTCGTCAACACTTTTATTCATATTTAAATAATATTTCAAATTTCACGAGTATTTTAACAATTATTAATAATGGGGTTTTGGGGTTTTGGGGTTTTGGGG